GGGCCCGGGCGCTCAATGTGAAGACAGGCCCCTCTCTAATGAGCCAACTGTGGCTCGAGGCTCGTCGCCCCACCTCCCTGTGGGCCACAGCCTGGCCTCTCCTCTCTGAAAGTGTGGGTGGCTGAGTGTCCACTGCCCTTGTCCTGTAACTTATATTTGCAATATCTACAGCTGGTGTCTGTTCCCTTCATGGGCCAGGAATTTCGTGCCCGGGAAAATCGTACATGTACCATGGTAGAGGGGAAGACTTGTAGCCTGGGCCCATGTCCCCGGCCCTTATGGGGGCATCGTTAGTTGATACAGCAGCTCAGAGAGTCCCGGTCAGGCTCAGCCCCTGGGTCAGACAGCGCATTGGCTCTCTGCTGCTACATCACAGGTCCCCCCAGAATAGTAGCTTCAAGCCACAACAAACTGTCCCCACAATGTCTGCGGGCCAAGCATTCAGGCGCAGTTCAGAGGGTTCTGGCTCCAAGTCCCTGCGAGGTTCTCAAGGTATCGGCCGGACTGCAGTCTGAGGCTTGACTGAGGCTGGAGGCCCCTCATGCTGGCACGTGGGGCCGGTGATGGGAGGCCTCAGTTCCTGGCCCGTCCGCATGCCGCTCAGCTGCAGGTCCTCATGGCATGTGGCAGGCTTCCTACAGAGCCAGTGACCTCAGCGGAGACAGCCAGAAGTCATCTGCTTTGGGACCGAGCCTCAGAAGGGACTCAGCAACACTGTTGCCATGTCACGTGGATGGCTGGAGTCAATCCCTTAGTCCTACCCACGTTCCAGGGGAGGGGCTTTAGACTCCACCTGTCAAGGAAAGAAGAAGCAAAGAACTCACGGACATTTCGCAGCTGCCTGCCTGTGGGGGAGCCCTGTTCTTCTCTACCACTCCTCTCCCTCTCTGCTTCACTTATGACACCAGGTTGGGGGCTGGGCAGTCCCACACCCATTCTCCAGTTTTCTGTGTGTCTACAGGACACCGCCCGGAGTCCTGTAGTTCAGTGATGTCAACCAGAGTTAGCGTCAGACCCCACCGGCTACGCGCTTGGTCCCACAAGACTGCCTCCTCTTTGGATGTCCGTCGCAAGTCCAGGGTGTCCTCGGTTTCCTGGACCAGCTGCCTGCAAGCTGGAGGTTCCCCCAGTCCTGTCCTCGGTTCCCTCATTTGCTAGAACGACTTTCAGAACCCAGGAAGAGTGGACTTCCTACTG